TGATTGCTTGCGTTAGCAGAACCAAAACATACATATTGTACCAAATTTGCATATGGGAAATGAACCATTACCTGGGAGCTATAACCTACACCCACAATTGTGTGGCACAATTAAACATTATGCACCAAACCTAGAGGGGAAGTTGAGGGTTTATATATACAGTACAAGACTTTAAGGCATCTTCCTAATCCAATTATCTTTTGTATGTTCTAAGCATTTCGCAGGTTGCCATGGACTGCTGACCTCATAAATCTGCAGCCAGACTCCCTAATACTCCTCCCTTCATAATCATGTGCACTTTAGCCCGTTTTATCTTTTTTTTCTTTTCTTTTTTTAAGATGACTTGAGCAAAACCCCTCCCTGATCTTGCACAGAGACCTTATAAATTACATGCCCATTGTGTTGTCCTCCCTTCAGTAAGCACAGAGAATCACATGAAGTACTGCTATTAGTAAAAAGAATAGGTGGCATTGTAGAAATTCCGTCGGGCTGGGAAGACCAAGTTTAAACCCTGTCCTTCCTACAGGTAAACTGCTCTTGGGCGGGGTGGAACCAGCAATTCATTGTTTAAAACCGTAAAGGCCAGGTTTTGAACTGAGTGGAGAGTCTCAAGCACAACATACAGGCCTGCGCGATTTATGATTTGCATAACCGCCTGTTATATAAGGCATACATACCAGCTTTCAAAGGCTTAAGTTATAAGCTGTAACGTTTCATTCTGTCACCAAATAGGGAGAAATCAACAGCAAGCGGGACCACCTGAAAGGCCGCTATCTTATTAAATCTGACTCAAGATTGTGAAGAGCTAATGGCACATGCTCCTGACTGCAATATTTAAGATGTGCAAATAATGCAAACGATCATAATCAGAAACCATAAGATAAGACCTATGTCAATAGCTAAGAGCCGAGGTGGCGCAGTGGGTAGAGTGCAGTACTGCAGGCCACTTCAGTTATCTGCAGTTCGGCGGTTCTAATCTCACCGGCTCAAGGTTGACTCAGCCTTCCATCCTTCCGAGGTGGGTAAAATGAGGACCCGGATTGTTGTTGGGGGCGATATGCTGACTCTGTAAACCGCTTAGAGAGGGCTGAAAGCCCTATGAAGCGGTATATAAGTCTAACTGCTATTGCTATTCAGTAATTACGTTTTTAAAAATGACCTGGGTCTACTCTGAGTTCAGTGGTAAAGGCTAAATTGGCAGAAGTTAACATCGGCGCAGGCAACCCAAAGACAATGACTATTAAACTGTACCTTTTTTATTCAACCTCTAAACAAACCCAAACACCAGGAATGGCGAAGCCACATTTTTCAAGGAAAGGACTGTTGGTTAACATGGTTCATCTTATTCAGGAGTAAGCAGCTACTGTGAGTCAAGGACTGTTAATTGTCTTGGTTTGATTCCAATTTTGGAAATTCGCCTTTTGTGCTGCTACTGGGTGACAAATATTTTAGGACTATTCTCCTGTTGCTGTTACCCAACATTAAACTCCTACCATTCTTGCAAATAAGTTTAATTCCTTCCTGTAGATTCTATTAATCACTGCCTTCAATGCCAATCTGTTGCCCTTTATTATTTGCAAACTTCAACAGCCTAGTCAATCCACAAGTTGTTCCTGTTGCCTCTCAACGCTCCAAAATATCAAAACAGAAAACAATTGTTTGAATTCAGAATTAATAAGATGAGGGAATGTATTTAAGATGGCAAGATAAGAAATATGGGGTGGGGGGAGAGATAGGTGGGGAAAGGCATGATATTCATAAAGCTAACACACAGCCTTTGCCAGCAATATATGAATCGAGGGAATTTAACGACATTACTTAACTGCAAACAGATTTGCAAAAAACAAAGCTAGTTAGTGTGTTTTTCACACATTCTTAACTACAAGAGTGATTTTTTTCTTTTCTTTTACCAAAGCCAAATGTAACAAAGATCCCTATCTTAGAATTTGGAAGCTAAGTTTAAATAAACAAAAAAGCTCTGATGCCATTTATTAAAATAGAGACCCATATAAAGAAAAAGACAGAAAGAAGTAGATGTACGTCTCGTTCTCCCTTTCCTATGTGCTTAAGGAGAGTCAATAGAAAGACTTTTTTTTTAACTCAATGCAGCTTTCAATTCAAGAATCGGATACATCGAAATCAGAGCATGTGTAGTTGTTGAGTGAGAGCAAATTTTAAGATATTCTATACGGAGCAGATGGTTTTTTTAGTAATTTTCTGCAATCATCATAGATATTAAAAGTTAATGCAACTTTTGTCAGCAATTCCTTTGGAACGGGGTGGGGTGGGGAACAATGGCCCTTTATGANCTGAACCCAAAAGGGTCTGGTTGGCTTTTAAACATGGTGGCCTTAAACTCTCACAATCTTCCCTTGGCAATGAAAGCAGCTGGTTTTGTACAATTCGAAAGCGCTAAATGTGAACCAGGACCAAACCCTTTTTATTTTCTGCTCAACAGCTTTTTCCTTTAAGAAAAAAAAACAACAACAGCACCCCCCCAAAATCTTGATACTGGAGCAAGAGCTACTGTGGGAATCTTCTCGTTGCAGTGTGAGATTTTTAGGAATGTTTTCCAAGTTTGAATTTGTCATTTTCTTCCTCCCTGCCCCATTCTGCTACGCAAAGCCAATGAATCAACACTGAGAAACAGGTGATCATAACCACAGTGGAGTCACAATGGCAGACATTTAAGGATAATCCAGGCTGTGTGGTAGACATGGAGGGCTTTGCTCTGATTTATTCATCATCACACCAACATTACAAGAAAAAATAGAAACAAATAAGAAGAGGTGGGAAACAGTGAAATTAAAATGATGGAGGGAAAGTCATGTATTTTGCTCTAATAGTATGAAATCCCAACTTCAGTGAGTAGCAGTTGATACTGAAGTTACCAAAGGAATGATGTAAATATATGGCAGTGCCCAATTCATTCATCAACTGGACATATTATCAAGATTTAGTTGGTATGTAGTGTGGACCAGTGGTGGGATTCAATTTTTTTTACTACCGGTTCTGTGGGCATGGCTTGGTGGGGAGGCATGATTTGGTGGGCGTGGCAGGGGAAGGATACTGTATAATTTCCATTCCTTCTCCACTCCAAGGGAAGGATACTGCAAAATCCCCATTCCCTCTTGATCAGCTGTGACTCAGGAGGCAGAGAATAGATGGGGCGGGGCCAGCCAGAGTGGTATTTACCGGTTCTCTGAACAACTCAAAATTTCTGCTACCAGTTCTCCAGAACTGGTCAGAACCTGCTGAATACCACCTCTAGTGTGGACAGCCCCTTCCCTTCATTAGACAAACACTCTTTTGAATGTTCTGGGCCTTTGGTATGAATATTGAATATATAGCTGGTTGTTGTTGTTGTTGTTATTTTTTTGAGGGGCAGGGCTTCTGAAAAGGAGGCAAAATCACACAAGCAAATATTTATATGGCGCTATAGGAGGGATTATTTGCAAAGCCAAGAAGAAGATATTCATTCTGTTCTTAAGCCTGTTATTTCAACGTTGACCCAGCTGAATGAATTCACTTGGGAATAGCTTGCCAAGCATTGCAATATCCAAGTTCTCCTAATTAATAGATTAATAGATCCAGCATGTTATAGTAACATCTAATGTACAGAATATATTTCCATTCAATCAACTCAATTCAGATTCTTTCCAAATGCTCAACACCTACCGTTATGCATTCTACACCTACTATGAGCAATAGTGTCCATATTTATCAAATGTATATCTCATCACAATCTAAATGGATACTCATAAGGTTACAACAAATAGCTTCACCCATGAACAATAAACGGTTCTTATTCGCCTTCCTTACATTGCATCCCAGAGGGTGTTTCATGCTCTGAGAAAGTCTACTAATATTTAGCCCTTTTAATGCACGTGGAAGTATGAACTATGGGTTTTTCTTTTAAGTGACTAAGCCAGCCAACAGGTTCTAGACAATATAGTCTAAAACAATGAGCTAAATCAACAATAATCTCTTTTAAGAGCCGAGGTGGCGCAGTGGTTAANTCTTTTAGGGTTCGCATCAATCATTGTAAATTGTAATTCTAATTAAATTTCTATAAAAATAGGATGAATGGGCTCCGAGACATTTAGAAAACACTAAGTGATTCCTCGCTATGGTACATATATGCTGTAACAAATATCATCACAATTTAAAATTTGTCAACTACTATAAGAACATGTCTGCTTTGATAACCTACCTAATCACATGGATAATCTAGAACCAATGACAACTATGTTGGTCCCTATCTCCTTGTTCTTTGCCGGATACAAATTCCTCTCAAGGCCAAATTAAACATTGCAACAACACAACCTAATGCATCACAGAATTCAAAACTTGCGATTTCCTATGCTAAACAGATGAGCCACTGAAATCCCCAGCAAGAATGTTGAACGTTTTTCTGTCCCTTGATGTCTGCTGGGTAAATATTATTTTTCATCTCAGACCTTCATCTAAAACAAAAGTTAGGGTAAGATTAGAAAGAGCAAGATTTGACATAGAACCCTCTTGCCTGTCTGTGAGACTTGTAATGTTCCCACCTCTCCTGAATGGGGGGACGGACGGACGGACGGACCCCCACAGCAGACTTAAGTTGGTCAAAGTGTTAACATCTAATTAAATTTCTCAGTCATCCAGATCATGGTTGTCCCAAAGGGGCTTTTTTCAAGAGGCAACTGGACTTTCTGTTGTTTTTTGAAGATGTTTCGCTTTTCATCCAAGAAACTTCTTCAGCTCTTCTTACTGGATGGTGGGGAATCCTTCCAGTCACCACCATTCACTCAAGAGCTGAAGAAACTTCTTGGATGAGAAGTGAAATGTCTTCAAAGAAAAAACAGTTGCCTCCTGATAAAAGCACCTCCGGGACATCTAACTGAATTCCTGAGGTCCTGAAAAGTCTTCTAAAGCTTCCCTGGTTCCTCTAAAGGCGCAAAGCAAAAAAGGAACACAACTTATCTTTAAATTCTGGAACAACCTAAAAAAGCTACCTGTGCTATCATGAGATCCATCATCACTTTCTTTAGACTGGGGGATAAGCCCGTTTCTTCTCAGGCAGTAGTTGGCAACTCCATGTTTGCGTAAGAGGTGGCGTTCACAGTTAGATTTGGTAGAAAAGAAGGCATCACATTTTTGACAAGGGAAGGGCTTCTGACCTAAATGAAGCAGGGGAAAAAAAACATATTTATCTTTTTTTTTCCAGCGTACCAGAGGAGCGCCTTGTGTTTTTCCTATCCCTTCAACTTAATCTGAACAACTCTGACTCAGCTCAGTCCTAAATCGATTTGTTTTTAAAAGGCCCCTAATAAATTTGAAGCAATTTACTTCCCAAGTAGCATGCTCAGGATTCCAGTCTAGCCATACATAAAATAACCTAAGGATTGACTCTGAAACCCCAAAACTCTTGAGAGTTCTCCAATATAACTGCCTGAAAAATCATATGGGCTTAATACAGAGGTGGGTTCCTACCAGTTCGCACCTATTCGGTAGAACCGGTTCGTCAAATCTACCGAA